ATAAATGTTAATGTAAACTTGTTCCTCATCTCTGAGGAGAAACATCACATTATTTGTTTAGCTGGGGATTTAGCTCAGTGGTTCTGCCGCTTGCCTTGCAAGCACAAAGTCCTGAGTTCAATCACCTGTACCAAAAACAAAAAACAAAAACAGGGAAGAAACTCTGGTCTTTAGTCTGTCATGGTTGCCCCTAGGATATCCCTTGTGTAAACCTAGAGTTTATTTGAAGGCAGATGGTTCTACAGCATCTCTGCCAAGTATGCACACCAGGGTCTTTTGCTGGTGTCTCCCTTGCAATTAAATCTGTTCTCCTCATAAGTCCTGCTGCCTCCAAAAACAAAAAACAAAAACAGGGAAGAAACTCTGGTCTTTAGTCTGTCATGGTTGCCCCTAGGATATCCCTTGTGTAAACCTAGAGTTTATTTGAAGGCAGATGGTTCTACAGCATCTCTGCCAAGTATGCACACCAGGGTCTTTTGCTGGTGTCTCCCTTGCAATTAAATCTGTTCTCCTCATAAGTCCTGCTGCCTCCTAGTCGACATCTGTAAGACCCTGCAACTCATGCAACCTACTGCTGTATCTCTTTTCTCAAGTCTTTAGACCCACTGCTATCCTTGGGCAACTTCTCTTCTTTCAACCCCAAAACTCTTCCCTCTACATCTCAAGAATACCCAGCTAAATTCCCATCCACAAAGCCAACTGGATAAGATGGTTTTTGCAGCTCTCATTATTGACCAGAAAATAGAAAATTCATTAACAGTTCCATAGGACAAGAAATCTAGGATTCCTGGAATAGGTACCTTTTTATCCAAATGAGGTTCTCCTCTGGCCATAAATAGGAGATAGCAGTTGCTAACCTGGGAAATCACCTGCCATAAACGTAAATTAAGTGTAGAATAAATATTCAGTATTGCCTTTTGTTTCCCATTGGACTCAACTTACCTTCTTCATCCAAAGGTTGCCAACTCAAAATATCAGATAGGTAATACAAATTAGAAATGGACAGCCAGGTGTGGTGATGCTGTAATCCCACTCAGGGAGAATGAGGCAGAGGGATCACCATGAGTGTAAGGGAGCCTGGGCTACATTGTGAGTTCAAGGCCAGTATGAACTACATAGCAAGATCCTGTCTCAAAAAACAAAATGAAAAACACTGCTTTCTGAGCCTGGTGTGGTGGTATACGTCAGTTAATCTCAACTCTCTGAGAGGCTGAGGTAGGAGAATTGCCATTTCAAGCCCAACCTGAGCTATTTAGCAACTTAGAACTTTTTCAAAATAAAAAATTTAAAAAGGGCTAGGATGCAGCTTAGCATGAACACCCTGGGTTCAATCCCAAGTAAAGGGGATAAAAAATAAACCACTGCTGGCCACATTGTCTGGGCTATATGTTATGTATCACTAGGTCAGCTTTATATCTTTCTGTGGTTTCTGCTTCTACATATATGCTGCTAGCTGTCAAATCTACATCCTTACAAGCTATTCAGCCAAATTTCAGATCCATGCAACTTCTCCTTACCTTTATCCTGAGATGTCACAGGAACCCCAAATCAAATGTATACAAGATCCCATAACCCCAACACCATCCTTAATTGGTTCTCAGGTCTGTTCTTCCTATTGCAGTTAAATGGCATCAACATACATCTACTTTCCCAAGTCAGAAGCCCTGAAGTCACATTCTACTTTCTCCCCTACCCTATCCCGTTAAAAACTAAGTCTAATTAATTATATCTCTGAGATTGTACTTGAACCCACTAGTCTCCATTCCCACCAACATGGTCTTGGTATAGGCTTCATATTTTCCTTTAACTAAAGCAAGCAAGAGCTCCCTAATTAATCTCTTACCTTCAGTCTCTTTGCTCTCCCTACAGCTACAATCTTCTTTCCAAGACAAAAATTTGATATTGTCACTTCCCTGATTGAAACTCTTCAATGATTTCCTATCACCTCCAAGACAATGTTCCCAATTCTTAGCCTGGTATTCCCCAGGCTCTTTGTGATCTTGTCTTTCCAGGTGCATCTCCTACTTCTTCTCCAGCCCCATTCAATATTACAGCCATACTGAAGTACTTTCAACTTCCAACACCCTGGCTGTTCCTACTTTCCAGATTGTCCTATTCTTGCTTTCTACCCAACACCCTTACTTACCTGATTCCTCCAGTCAAGGACTAATCATCCTTTCTGGGAGGTAGATACCTTTTCACTGCCCACAGTACCCTGTGCACATCTCTAGTTTTATTTTGTTACTTTTGATTGTTTTCCCACTGAAATGGGACTTTAGTGCAGAAACTTTACCTTACTTCTATCACCTTAAGAGTGAGCACAATACCTGATTTAAGAGACATTTAATAATTGTTTGTTCAAACAAATGAACAAATGAATCTAGTCCAATTCATGGCACCAAGGGAGAAATTTCTCTTGAATTCTCAAGACCATGTGACTGATCAGTGACAGAACTAGAGAGCAGTATCTTTTCACTTGCAACTCAGCAATCTATCAGGTTAAACTAGTCTTTAACAGGATCAGGGGCATTAAAGTGTACTGGAAAGGCAGGGAACGAAGTTTTGTCCCAAAAGGAAGGAAAGAGAAATGGTCAAACACCTCTCCCTCTCCCTCAACAGGATCTCATTATGTAGCTCAGCTGGCCTTGAACTCATGATCCCCTGCTTTGATCTCCTGAGTGCTGAAATTACAGGTATGCACCACCATGCCAAGTTATTTGTTATCCTTACCATGAACACTTTTCAAAAGGATCTTTGGCAACCCAAAGTCAAATAAGACAGTTCTTGGCTGACATGAGCATTAAAGGGGGGGCAGTTCTCATCTATTAAAGATGAAATGAGGCTTATAATCAGGAACCTTAAAAGAAATAAAATTATAATATAGCATATACTATATATCAGGTATTATTCTAGGCACATATTTATTTAATCTTCAAAGTAACTGTGATAAGTAATATTATCCTCTACTTTGTAAATTATAGAGGCATGGAAAAATTTAGTAGTTTGAGGTTTCACTGGTAGGACGTATTAGAACTAGGCCTGGAAAAAGGTAGTTCAATGCTAAAATACATGTCCTTAATCCTAATGCCAGAGGCATAATCCTGACAGTGGCAAACAAGACAAAACAGGCTGGGCACTCGTGTGCACACCTCTACTCCCAGATATTCAGGAGACTGAGGCAATATTGCAAGTTCAAGTCCAGCATGGGTAATTCAAACTTTTTAAAAAGGATTGAGGATGTAGCTTGATAGTAGAGCATTCGCCAAGCATGTGCAATACCCTGGGTTCAACTAGTTGGTACCACAGGAAATAAGTCAAAAGGGGATCACTCATTTCATTGTATGAAATATGAGAGAGGTATTCGAGGAAGAGGCTGTTAAGGCCTGGGCCCGTGTGGGGGAGGGGAGTTCTTTATTCTGTGATGCAATGATGACCTCAAGGTAAACTGCCACTAGGTTGAGGAAAATGCAATGGCTGCTTGAAGACCTGCTTGGAGCTACATAAGATATGGGATTCCTCTGGGACCCACTGACCTATGCTCTGGCCTGTAGCCACTGTGGCCACTGCTGCCTCCACAGTCCAGGGTATCTGGTGATACTATTCTTATTTGTGGTTTGGCAGATTCAAAGATGGCAACAGCGTGAATCCTGGTGCTCTGGGGACACAATGCAAGGCAAGGTGAGTGACTAACCAAGAATGTACAGCTGGATGAATGACTGCGGACACTGTATGTGGGGTCAGCTGAGGAATCATTGGTATGAATGTGTTCCCACATGGAGCCCTAGGTTTCAAGCTAAGTGTCCTTGGACAAAAGATTTGAAGCCCGGTGTAGATGTAGGATTAGGTAAGGAAATGCTGATCTCCAAATGAAGACTGCGATATGACCATTTACACTGGGTCTCTGCTGACCACAGATGTGAGGACAAGTGAGCCATTGTTTACTTCGGATATAGCAGAAACTGTATCCCTTGCATTTCTGAATGCCTGAGCGTTATCTTTCTCTATTCCCCAGGATCTGCCACTTCAGTATGATTTGGCTTTTTTTGATCACCTGTGGCAGAAAAAGTCAGAGAAAGAAGGAAAAGAAAGGGAAGAAGAGGAAGACCAGTCAACATCTTTGGAGCCAGTGAAATTGTGCTCTCCCGAAGAAGCTCCCACTGGAGACGAAGACACCACAGCCCCACTCCAGCCATCCTGTGGTTCTGAGAGCCTCCCTAAGGCCACAGGGACACGAGAGCAAATATCCACACAACCCTCGTGCCCCTTCAGATCCTTCCCCACTTTACAGATCACTACTAACTTACCTGTAAGAAACAAGAACGCATCAAGGAGCTGCCTGCAGCAAAGAAAAGGCCAGCTTTTCTTCGGTCTCCCCTCTCAGCACAGTGAGTCCCTGGAGACTATCTTCCTGAGCTTAGATAGCTCCTCTCCCCTGAAGTTGTCTGCCTGTCCTGTCTTCTTCAATAAGCTTCCTTTCCTGCCTAGGTATAACCTGCTGCTTCATCATTACTGTTCCCCAACCCAGCTTCCCATCCATGAAGCCCATACTAGGGAAGACCTGGAAGGGATGGCTTCTGATGCTCAGCTAGTTCCACCGCCATCTTCCTCTCCTGTCCCATCTCTATCCCTCCATCTAAAGCCTTTGCCTATGGACAACTATGATGGTGAAGCACACAAACAGTGGCTTAAACAGGAAAGAGATATTCTTCAGGTCTCTGATGATCAAACCCTGTATCCACAGCGTTCACTCCAAGGAATCAGAACCTCCAACTGCTTATCCTCATCTGAGGCCTGCAGGGGGGAGCCATGGGACCCCAGACTCCATCAACATAATCCAGAGTCACCCTCTACTTCCCCACTTTATTCCTCTAGCTCTCTAGGAGTCCTGACTAGGTTTGAGGCCCTATTGAGGGCAATGAAGGAAAATAAGCACCCAAAAGGCTGTGAGCCAGCAATGCCAGCTCCCAGCCCAAGTCTAGCTTCTCTGCCAGAACTCCAGAGAGTCAGCCCTATGGGAGGCCTATCTGGATCCAAGACCCTCTGGGAAACCACAGAGCAAAAGAAGGATCCTCAGACCTCTGAGCCTCCAATCCTGGCCGCTTGCCAAACCACAGTGCCCATGACAGAATTTCAAAGATCCAGTTCCCCATGCAGTCTACCCAGATATGAAGCTCAGTGGGGAACCACAGGACATAAAGAGAGCCCCCAAGTTTCTGAACCCTCAAATTCAGACTCTTGCCAATCTCTAGTTTCTCTGCCAGAACCCCCAAAAGTCAGCCCTAAACATTCTGCTCCTAAGAATTTCCAGGGAAACATGGGATACAGAGAGAACCCTCAGGTTAAATCTCCAATGCCAGCCCACTTCTCTCCCCTAGACTCCTACTCAAAACTCCAGGAAAAGAATCCCCCCAAATATTCATTTGGATATGAGCCCCAGTGGGAATATACAGCAAACTTAGGAAATCCCAGTGCCACTGAACTCCCATCCTTGGACTGCAATGCAGAGCTCTGTGAAACCAGACCTGTGTGTCCCCCATCAGGATCTGAGACTCCATGGAAGAGCATGCAGACGAGAGCTCTTTGGGTCTCTGCTGACTCAGTATCACCTCCCAGTCTTCTTAGCCTTCCCTCCGCCTTTCGGCTGCAGTCTCTAGAAAAGGGCTCCCAGGGACTTCTGTCAGAGTCCAAAGCCTTGTGGGACACCAAGGGGCAGAAAATGTACTTTTGGGTGTGTGACTCCTCAGAGCCTGCTCAGATAACACCTCTAGCCTCCCTTGTAGAGCCACATAGAATCACTGCTGTGGGTGGCCTCTCTAGATTGGAAACTACACGGAAAGTCACTGAGCATTCAAAGAATTCCTGGGCTTCTGAGCCATTTCTGGCCCTCAGCCCATCCCCTACTCTTGTATGTAAACCTGTCAAAGCTATCCCTATGGGAGCTCTGTCTAATGAAGCTACGTGTGAAGATATACAAAGGAAAAAGAACCGGGCCTCTGAGCTTCCAACTCCCAGTTTACTCCAAGACCTGCACGGAGCAAGCCTCCTGGTTGTATCTGACTCTGAGCCTCTTATGGGGAACATGGAACACAAAGAAAACTATTGTGTCCCTATACCCCCAATTTGGGGTTCCAGCTCACTTGCAAACTCTGTTTCTAAATCTCACATAAATGAGTCTACTGGAGACCAAAGCAAGTGTAAGCCTGAAGGGAAAGCAGTAGAGCTGAGAGACAACTGTTGGGCCACTGAACTCCCAGCCCCCAGCTCACTCTCTGCTCCTCTACCAGAGCCACATGCTAACCTTAAATTTGTGTATAAAGATGTGCAAAAAGAGGTCCCCTGGGGCATCAGCCCTGCAGTAGGAGATCCCCTGCATCTAATACCCTGGCCTCCCATCCTAGCTGAAGCTCCCAAGATTGAACCCACCCAGTGTGGCCCACACAAAGGAGAAATGTTTCCAGAAGTGAAGGCAGAGGTCCCATCTTCCCAGGGTCAGGCTGTGCCAGAGGTGCTCACCCACTCTAGGGTCCCTGCCTGGCGATGGAGTAGGGAGTTGGAGAACAGACTAAAGAAACTGCAGCAGAACCCTGCTTTCACATCCCCTGGCCCAAGTCAACCATTTTGCAGCTCTGCTGCCCTGAGTTCCACTAGACTAGACTCCTGGAAACTCTCTTCCTGGGCCCCAAAGGAGACTCATGCCCCCAACCTGTACCTCCACTCATGTTGTCATCCCCCAAATGTCCAGAGCACAGCACCTCAGCCTGTCCAGGACTCCCACTATCTTCATTCCTCTCAGGAGCTTCAGCCATTAGCATCTCGCCAGGCAGAGCAAGGGTCTCAAAAAGAGGAGAGAATAAAAGGGAAGATGGTGGCCCAAATTCCATCTCATGGGCCAGGTTTTCACAAAAAGGCTGGTGCGAACTTTCTAGGCTTGGGAAAGCCCTCAAACACTGGGGTTCTGGCATCAGGCAAGAGACAAAACAAGGCTTTGGCCTTATCTTTGGCCAAAAAAAGGGAAAATCCCAGAAAACTCAAAACGGTAGAATGTGGAAGAGGAAATGCAAGACTGGGATCATCCACAGTTACAGGAAAGAGCCACCCTGATCAGGCCTGGAGACTAACAGAGGGCCCTGTAAGCAGACTTTCCCAAAGGTCTCAGCACAAGGGCCAGACCTCTCAACACACTGCTCTTCCGCGGCAGCTTTTTAAGGATGCTGGTCCTCAGGACAAGCAAAGTGCAGGGTTGGCGACTGGTGGCATACAGAACCCTCAGCACTGTAAGCATTGTCCACAGGCCCACATGGAGAGGCATCTTTCAACCCCTACATCCCAGGTTCCCATTACTAGGGGTCTCCAAAGGGTATTTGCCAAATTATGGGGTACTCATGGACTCTCACCAATATAATCCAGGCAATAAAGGCTGGTAGCATTGGTACATTACACCTCATGACATGAAGCTAAACCAAGTAGATGGAAAGATAAAGGAAAAGCAGAGAAAACCCTAATAAATGACGTAATTTACACAAATTTCATTTTTGTCTTCTGTGGAGTATAGGGTGGTGGAATGTGAGCTATTTGCTTCTGCTACATCCATATCCCCTCAGGATCAGATCCTAGAAGTACAGAGCTCAGCATTTTGCAAGCTTAACTTTCTTAGTGTTCTCCATGTATTATTTTTGACCATTTCTTCTTAGGCATGCTTTTTTACTGTGGGGTCAGTTCACCTATCCCCAAGGCTACAAAAACAAGTCCCCTTTATCAGGTTTAGTAACAGGATTTTTCTTCTGTAATTGCCTACTCATAGCCTCTATTCATTTTTCTACTAGCTTTCTAATACTACTGTTTAACCATTACCACAAAATAGCACATATTTTGTTAGAGGCTTGATGTCTCGTAGGTGTAGAACTGAGGGGCAGGGCTGCATTTTTTTTCTGTAGGCTCTGGCTAAGGTTCACCCTAGAGGCTACGCAGATTCCTTAGATACTGGCCCCTTCAGAGCTAGCAAAGGGAAGGCAAGCTCCCACACTGTATCACTCCAGCCTCTTACCTTCTGCTTTTAAGGACCTTTGTGATTAGTGGATCCACCTGGGTAATTCAGGACACACTTCCTATCTTAATGAATGAACCACCTTAACTGTTCTTTGCTATGTAAAATAATACATTTAGATACCAGTGATGAGGACATAGACATCTTGGGAGGTTGTTGTCCTGCCTTTCAGAGAGAACTCATGCTACGAACACTTTCTCCCAATCTGTAGCTTGTTTGTAGTAACATTATACCAAAGTTAAAATTTTTATGTTGTTAAATTTAAACTTTTTTTTTTTTTTTTTTAGACAAGGTCTCACTATGTAGTTCATACTGGCCTGGAACTATGTAACCCAGGCTGGTCTCAAATATGCAGCAATCCTCCTGTGTTAACCTCCTGAGCACTGGGATTTACAGGCATGCGCCATTATGTATGGCCAACATTGTTCTTTATGGCTTATAAAAAACTTTCTTTTGGGGTTGGGGATTTATTAGCTCAGTAGCACAGCACCTGCCTTGCAAGCACAAGGTCCTGAATTCAATCCCCAGTACCATAAAACAACAAAAAAAAAACTTTCTTTTTTAACTATGTATATCTGTTTATATTATTTATTAACTTTTGGTAGTGGCCAGGTAAGGTGGCTCACGCCTGTAGTCCCAGCACTTGGGAGGTGGGGGGTAGGAGAATCACTGAATTTGAGGCCAGCCTGGGCTACAAAGTGAGTTCAAGACCAGCCTGAACCTCACAGTGAGACCCTCTCAAAAAAAAAGGGGGGGGGCGGGGGAGGCAACACTGAGCTACATACATCTCCAACTCTTTTTAATTCTTTGAGATGGGATCTCACTAAGTCACAAAGCTGCCCCACTGGCTCTAACTTGGGATCCCCTTGCCTCATCCTCCCAAAGTGCTAGGATTTACAGGCTTGCTGAAATGAGACTCTACTCCTCTTAAAATGATGTCCATTTTTTAGAAGTAGAATTAGCTTGAGCCCAGTCCATTAAATATGCCATAATGAAAAACACAGGTCATTCATTAGCAATGCCTGGCTTCAGATCCATGTAACCAATGGGTTACTTGATAACCCGCCTCCCAAGTGCTGGGATTACAGGCACGCAAAACCGTACCCAGCCTTCAATGTAATTTCTTACTCAATTTGTCTAAAATTTACATTTTTCCTTTGTCTTTTCCTCCAATATACTTTCCTACTACTGAAAGGTACATATCCAAATACCTAATCCAGAAGCCAGTCACCTTAACTCTTCCCTTCCCTCCTCCCTGACTTCTTTCCAAACCCTGCCAATTATGACGTGTAATTGGAAATTCCATCCTCATTTCTCCACCTCCACCATCACTTTCTTAGTCCAGTCATCATTCTCAAGTTGGTTGTCCTGTTCCTTTCAATCCATCCTCCATATGGCTACAATTCTCTGGAGTTAAAGTGACCCAATTTCTTCATGTTTGAGCAAAGACATGTACAAATACAACTTGTGGTCCTAAACTGGATATTGGTCAAAATAGTTGTGAATGACATTTGGGTCACTTGGGCAATTGGATATATGTATTAGACTGTTCTTGATCTCCAGGAAATTTACTAAAAGGGAAAGGTGGAGTTTATTTACTAAAAAAGTTATAAGGTTGTATAATCTCAATTTGGCCATTAAAATACATGTATACCACAGCTGCAGAACACACATTCATCAACTCATAGAACTTTTTCCAAAAGATATTTTAGGCCACAAAGCAAGTCGTATCAAGTACCAAAATACTAAAGTAATTTTTTTGCATCTTACCAGATCATAACACAATGAAACTAGAAATCATCAGTAAGAGAAACTACAAAATTATACAAACACATGGAGATGAGCAGTACACTTCTGACTGACAGTGAGTGACCCAGGGAAGAAACCTCAGAGAAAACACAACATAGTTAAGCCTACAGGATACAGCAAAAACAGCACAAGGGAAGTTTATACCTGAGTGCCCTTATTAAAAAATAGATGGAGAAGAGGATGAAAAAGGATGTTATGTTTATGCACCAACTCCCCACGATGAAGATAATCACTAAAGCACTGCAAATGCATACTAGTAAAAATTAAATAAGAAAAAAACAAAACAAAACAAAGAATTAGGCACAGTGGTATATGCCTTAGCTATTTAAGCTATTTCAGCTGAGATGGGGGAATAGCAAGTTTGTGGCCAGTATGGGCAACTTAAGTGAGATCCTCTCTCAAAATAAAAAAGGGCACAGCACCCCCTAGGTTTAATCTCTACCACTAAGAATGCCTATAAGTGTAGCTAGTAAAAGAACTAAAGTAGGAGGATCTCAAGTTAGAAATCAGCCTGAGCAGCAACTTAGCGATCCTATCTTAAAAAGGGGGGCAAGGAGATTTAGCTCAGAGGTTGGCCGTCCCTGGGTTCAATCCCCCACAGTGCAAGATAAAAAAATGGAAATAAACTGTCTATATACAATATGCATGTGGTTCACAACATTGTGCTATATACTTGGAAATTGTTGGCTGAATTTTTTCCCCATAATTAAAAAGTCAACTGCTTAATACTAAAATCTGACACTGTCTTTCCCTTTACCATTAGGATAAGGTTCACTCTTGATAACTGAGTCTTTACAATATAGTTCCCAAGCTCTCCAAATTTACTCCAATATTCCCTTGCCAGTCCTAATGTTGTTGCCTAAGCATCCCCTTAATTTTTAAGCTTTGCCTTTTGCTCAGTGCTCTCTTCTACTTTTCCATATCAAGTCTCCCACCTCCAAGCCCAGCTCATAACTCAGGCACCTTCTCAGATTCTTTTTGGTATGACTTCCCTAGCTTGTAGCCCCACTGTGTGTCTTATTGCTGCCACCCTTTCCGTGACAGTATGGCTTTAAAGAAAGGTTACTTGAGACAATGTACAAGTTTTCAAGCTAGTGTTCTTTCCACTCTACAATATTCTACTTAGTATGTACATCTAGTTCAGGGAAAAAAAAAGCATCCAGAAGGTACATGATGTTCCTCTGTTTCATCTGTCAGTGCTGTGTCAAAGTTTTAGTCTAAACCTGTACAGAAGACCTGTATCCAAAAGTTATCACTTGCTGGTAAAGGGTAGAACCAAAGGTACTTTTCTGTCTCCCCCGTTTGGCATCAGTGAAATTCTGAATTTCCACTTCACATGAGGACATCGTCTGTTTCTCTTAATAGCTTTATGAAAAAATCCAAATCCAGCTGGGTGCAGTGGCACACCCTTGTAATAGCAGCTACTCAAGAGGCTGTAACAGGATTATGGCAAGTTTGAGGCCAGGTTAGATAGACTGTCTCAGAATTTTTTAAAAAAGTAAAAAGATCCAGGAATGTAGATCAGTGGTACAGCACTTGCCTAGCATGCACAAGGGTCTAGGTTCAATTCATAGTACTGCCCCCCACAAACAAACAAAAACCCCAAATCCGACCTCCTCAATTCTTAAGCCTTTTAAAGTTATCAGCAGATTGGGCTAGCAAGGATAATAAACCACTGCCACTGTTCACCTGAACTGACAAACATGTATCCTTCACAGGCATTGTGTATCCACTGGATTCTCAGAATATGCAAGACAATTATCGTAAGACACAAATATATACTGAGACATCAGGTTCATAGTTCCAGCTTTGCCTTTACCTCTATGGCATACTGCTGATTCTCTATGATCAATATGATGCCATATTTTTCCATCTGAAATCTGTCCTCTAATCTACCCTTTAGGAGGAAGGGCTTAGCTGTACTAAGATAAATTCTAATTTTTCTAAGAACACTGAGGTGGGTTTATAAGGGTGCCTATACAACCTGCCTCTTAAGTATGAAGTACATAGTCTTCTTTGCAATCATAAGCTGACAATAAACAGTCCTCACACACTTTCTATAGTTTAGAACGCACTTTCATTTTATCAGCTCAAGAAACCTGAAGTATGCTAGGCCTGGTGGCACATGCCTATAATTCCAGCACTGGCCATCCTGGGCTACACAATGAGTTCAAGGCCAGCCTGAAATGCATATTCTGTTTCAAAACAAACAAACAAAAAACCCAAAATGTAAAACTGGATGTTGTGGTGTGCCTCTGTAATCTGAGCACTCTAGAAGGTGAGGAGGAGGAGGATCATGAGTTTGAGCCCATTTGGGGAATCTCAGCAGAACAATGTCAAAAAAAAATAAAGGGGGCCTGGGGATTGAGCTCGCTGTGAAGGGCACTGGTTCAACCCCCAGTAATACAAACCCGAAGCCTCAAAGAAGTTAAGCATCTTTGTTCACAACCACACTACTATTAGCACAAGTACTAGAACTAGAAGTGGGCCTCCTAATTATAACTCCATCTTCCCTGACAGAATTTTTGTGACAACTGAGAGTAAACCAACCATTCTAACACCAAGTCTACTGCCTATAAAGTTTACCTTTACATGTCTTGGGGGAAAGTGACATATGCCTGTTAGGTTCCCACAATTTGATGGAGAGGTCCCAGAAGTTTTATACTAAATAACCCTAGTCTTTGGCCTTCAGGCTTCAGGTCAGTTTATCAACCCACAGGGATGACAATAACAAAATTCAGAGTAGAGAGATTTAAGATTTAAAAAGTGGCGCTGGGAACACTGGCTATGCATGTGCAGAAGAATGAATCTAGACCTTATCTCTTATTCTACTATAATCTAGGTAAAGTGGATCAAAGATGTAGGTATTAAAACACTAAATCTGCCGGAAGCTAAATTAGGTAAAACTCTTGAACGCACAGGTGAAGGCAAGAATTTTCTGAACAGAATCCCAATTGCACAAGAAATAATACCAAGACTCAGCACACTGGACTATATCAAATTAAAAAGCTTCTGCATAACAAAGCAAATAACCAGAGTGAATAAACTACCTACATAATGGAAAAAAATTTACCAGCTATTCATCAGCCGAGACTAATATCTAGAATACATAAATAGGTCAAAAAAATTAGACATACACCTCCGAGTACCCAAACAGGAAACAGGCAATTGAAATAAAACACTTCTCAGAAGTACAAATGAAATGTCCATTAAGTACAAGAAAAAACACTCGGCAGGGTATGGTGGCACATGCCTGTAATCCCAGCACTTGGTAGGCAAAGGCAGTAAGAGCACTGCAAGTTCAAGGCCAACTTGGGCTACAGAGTAAGTTCCAGCCCAGCCTGAACTACAAAGCAAGACAAACAACACTGATCTATCATCAAGAAATCAAATAACATATTCTGGCAAGGCTGTGGGGAAAAAGAAACCCTTTTACATTCTTGGTTAGAATGTAAATTAGTACAACCACTATGGAAATCAGTATAGATTCTTCAAAAAACTAAAATTAGAAATTCCATTTGACCCAACTATACTTCTAGGTATCTTCCCAAAAGAGTTAAATATAGCACCACTGCCTGCCTGCCTTACAAACGCAAGGACCTGAGTTTGATTCCAGTACCAAAAAAATACAAACTAGAGTTAAATACAGCAATGCCAGGCATAGTAGCACACACCTATAACCCTAGCACTCGGGAAGCTAAGGCAGGAGAATCACTGCGAGTTCAAGGCCAGCCTGAGCTACCTAGGTGAGTTGAAGGCCAGACAAAATTAGAGACAGACCCTGTCTCAAAAAATAACAAAGATATTATGTACAGTGATACGTGCATACCCATGTTTATAGCAGCACAACTCTTAACAGCTACATCTACAGATGAACAGATAAAGAAAACGAGGTATATAAACACAATGGAGTGCTACTCAGCCATAAAGGCTAAATTTGAGACATGTGTAGAAAATGGATGCACCTTGAGACTATAATGCTAAATAAAATAAATCTGACACACAAGGTTAAATACTGCATTGTTCCTCTTGTGTGAGAAACCCAAAGTATCAATGAAGAGCAAATTAACAAGAAAAGAAACAGGGAGGTAGACCTTTTTGTAGATGGGAAAGGATCTAAGAATGAAGGGAAGAAAGGTAAAGGAGGGGAAGAGATAAAGAAAAAGGACTAAAATGTGATAAAAAAAAAAAAAAAAAAAAAGACCAAGCCAAGCCCTCAGGGATATTTACATGGTAGAAGACCAAACAAAGAACCCCCTGCCAGAAAAAAAGAAAAAAGAAAAAAAAATTTGGTGGGGAAATTGTCATGGAAAAAAAAAGATAGTTCATTCAAATACCAACATGCCTAACTGTATTTCACAGCATCTGAGTTCCAAAGCTGTTTAATTGACCGATTTAAATATACTGTATTCCTGGGCCTGGTACTTAGCTCAGTGGGGCCACCGCCTGCCTTGCAAGCACAAGGTCCCAAGTTCAATCTCCAGTACTGAGAAGAAAGAAAAAAAAAAAAACCCTCTCAATATACTGTATTCCTGAAGATTTATCTAAACAGACTAAAACAAAACCTAGTTTATCTTGATTAGTGTAGGTCCTACGATGACCAAAATAAATTCTGGTCAGACCATTTACTATTTTCAATGTACACTCTCAGTGTAAGGAAGACATTATGGTAAAGGGCCCGGAAGCACTATTATTACTTTGGTATCTTAATGAGGATACTCTATAACTGCGCACGAAGCTATGCCAGTAAGGATGGTGTATATGCTCAGTGGCAGAGCATTTGCTTAGGATGCAAAAGGATCATGGGTTAATCTTCATCACCACATGTACACACACATACACTATAAAAACAATCTGAGGGCTAGGGATTTAGTTCAGTGATTCTGCCGTCTGCCTCATAAGACCCGTTTGATCCCCAGTACCAAAACAAAACAAAACAAAACAAAAAAAACCCAAAAAACAAAACAAAACAAAAAAAAATCTGAGGGAGAAATGTTTACTTCAGACAAAACACATCTCAGCCTGGTGTGGTGGTGCATACCTGCATTCCCAGCTACTAAAAAAGTTGGGGTAGATGCCTGAGCAACTTAGCTTGACCTGGTCTCAAAATAAAAACGACTGGGGATGTAGCTCAGTCATAGAATATTTGCTCAGTATGTCCAAGACCATGGGGGACGCAATTTCACCACTGAAAAACAACAAAAACAAACAAACAAAAACAAGCTGAGTGCAGTGGCACAACCCATAGTTTCAGCACTGGAAGGCTGAGGTAGGAGGACTGAAATTTCAAGGCCAGCCTGGACTACACAGCAAGAGCTTGCCTCAAAAGATTAAAAAGGGGCCAGAGATTTAGCTCAGTGGTTCCACCGCCTGCCTTGCAAATGCAAGGTTTGATACCCAGTACCAAAAAACAAACAAACAAAAAACCCACCTGCAAACAAAATACTACCTTTAAGATTTTTAAAGGGGATCCCAATCTCATCCTTGGTCAGAGTAAGAGTTCTGCAGACCTGCCACTATCCTTAACATCAAATACAGGTGAAGGGTGGGTTACCATTTTATCCACATAAGCAGCTCCATCACTGCAGTCCTACCCAGTGATGCCACAGACATGGTGAGGCAGCTTGAGATATCTACCACTGTTAAGCAGTAGCGGAACAGGGTGCAATCTTCCAGGAGTTTACATTTGTAATTGTGCCTTGGCTGCCCAAGGCCCTTCCCAGAAAAAGAAGCAGGCATAGGGGCCAGGCCTCAGGCTCCATTTTGACCCAACGTTTATTGTCCTTTTACAACATGTCATTTTTTTGGTTTAGAAATTGCTTGTGATTAGTTCTCCAACAACTCCAAAGCATGTAAAATAAAATCAACCTACTCTCTATATGAACACCCAGCAACTATGGCCCCTCATCCACCTAACCAGGCTGGCTAGGTGAAGAGAGGGCTCAGGCAGCATGGAGTGAAGTGCAGATGCTTTACTTCAAGGGGTGGTGGTGGTGCCTTGGTTCACACCCCACACAGGCTCCCTACACTGGCCCAAACTACAACAGAAATGGCACAGGCCCTAGGCCCAATTCCCTGGTAATTCACTCTCTGCCTCCCAAATGAAAATTATTTTTATTTTATCACTTTTGTATATTTTGCAACAGAAACCCCCGTCCAAAGTCTGACTGGTAGCTGAACTGTTCAGACTGAGGAATGAAGCAGGCTGTGGGCGCACACCTGGTCCCTCCTGGGCAAGCGCCCTCACCCCAGGAACAAGGTCCAGCCAGGCCAGCTTGCTGCATGCTGGTCACATCACTTAGCCATACAGGTCATCATCATTGTCTTCTGTGTACACACTGCCACCTGTGCCACCTCCACTACCCTGACTGGGGCCAGCGCCACCCTGATTTCCTGAAGGGAATCTGTAAACAAGAGCAGAGCAAAAAAAAAAAAAAAAAAA